CATCTGGCCAATGTGTGCACTGACTATCGCCCCACTCAAAAATGTTTGCTCCATGAAGGCGAGGGCTTTGTGTGTTCACACTGTTTCCCCAGGGTTACAACAGCAGCTGGCACAGAGCGGGCCCTCTGTAATCACCCGAGTGAACGAGGCCCTGATTGAGGCTGTCCTGCCACTGCTGGGAGGAGCGCTGCACTGCTGGCTTCCTGGGCTCTGGGCTCTGTCCACTGAGCTCCAGGAATCCCGCCAGGTGACACTTCCTGATGGTGCTCTCTCAGGTCGGCTCGCCTCCCTCTGACAGTTGTTTGTGTGTGTGTGTGTGTGTGTGTGTGTGTGTGTGTGTGTGTTTGTATGTGCGCACTAATCGTGCAGTACAGGCAATATAAGTCATAAGAGTTCAAGAAGGAGAGAGAAATTACCAACCTCAGGGACTTAGAAGGATCTTGGTTGAGAGATTAGACACAATTAATTGATCTTCTGGCTACCTCCTGCTGTCCCTCCCTTCCCCTGCCAGGGACTGAGCCTCTGGAGGGGGGAGGAGACATGAGCAGGGAGCAAAGAAACGAGATGCTTTGCTGGAATGGAGAGGGAGGCAGAAAACCGCCATGCATCACGGAGAGTGGACTGGCCATGCAAAGGGCCTCCCTGCCACTCTGTCTGCTGGGGATGCAGGAGCCCAGCCTCCCTCTGCCCAGTTACTCACCCACCTCCCCTGGCTCTCCTCTACAGAGAATGTGGACAGATTTCAGAGGCCTGTGCACACTTTGCACACTTCCCCCCTAACCCTGGCCCTGACAGATGCGTGCGCATAGACATTTCCTTTGAATTTGCTGGGGAGTGGCTGGCTGGGAGTGCGGAGTGGCTGCAGTGGGTGTGTGGAGCCATGCTGATCTTCCAGGAGGCTGGCCACGCCCTCTCCTGGGGGTCAGACCCAGAGATGAAGGAGGCGTGAGGGAGGTGGGAAGAAATGGGTACTGGAGGCAGGCCCACCTGCCAGCTGGAGTGACTGATGGCTTCCAGATCTGGCTCTGCCATTTGCCAGCCTGTGACCTCTGGTGGGGCCTTGGTTTCCCGAGCTGCAAAATGTAGGAGTTGGGCAGGTGAGCTAATGGAGCCTCCAACTCCTCTATGGGGTCAAGTATTACTAACGCACCAAGGAAGGCTGCCTATATCCTGACGGATGAACCAGGAGCCAGGACCCAGGACAGAGGTGGAGACTCAGAAAGATCTGAGCCTCCGTCATCTCTCTCGCTGCCCCCTGATCAGATCCTCACTCCTGCTCATGCCCACACAAAGCCGGGCAGCCTCAGCAGCGGGGAGAAAGCACACCACACCAAGAACCTGGCCTTGGCCCCTGCCTGTCTTGGCCACCCGGTACCCTTGGCTAACACAGCCTTCCTGGGTTCCATCTCCCCATCAAAGAAAGGGGACATCTCTTTCTCCCATCTGCCCCATCTGACATGGCGGGATCCCGAGCAGATGGGCCTGTCACCCCTGAGGTTGGTGGGAGAGGAGAGGTAGAAAGTGCCCTCACTTCAGAGACATAAAAAAATGGGAGCTAAGGAGCAAATGAGCAAGAAATACTGTCAGAGTGACTTCTAGATGCCAAATACCAAGGGCAATATGAACGGATGTAACTGGAGGACAGGGCGGCAGACAGAACAGTCCTGGAACAGCTGGCCTTAACCTTGGGCACACCTTGGTGGCCAGGTAGCGCTCTCTGATGAAGGGGCCTGCTGCATACAGCAGGGATCCTCCCAGGTCTGGCTGTCCCTACCTCAAGAAGGCACAGGGTAAAGTATGAATTACGCAGCACAGCTAGTAAAAGTGATGGGAACAGAGGGAGATAAGTGTGCCTTCTCCTCCTGCACCTGCCTCCCCAGCTCCTCAGTGGGGGACGTGCCACCCCAAGGAGTGCCCGCCAATGGGCTGGGAGGTGTCTGAAGACACTTCAACACAGCTCTCGCCTGGGAGTCTCTTCTAACGCACAGTAAGTCGTGTTAAACATGCTTACATAGAAAGGAGCAAATGCTAAACTCAAATATTCTTTAGAAGAAAAGCTAAGACTTCAAAATATGTTATGCCCATGCTGGCAGGCCCTAAATCCTGGGTCTGGGAAGGCGGCGCTGCTCCAGGGGAAATAAGGCAGATGGGAGACAGAGCAGGGGAGAAGGAAACTGTGGTTAGGTAATGACCTTGACCCTCAGAAAAGAAAGCAGTGAGCAGGGAGAGGGCAGCCTCAGCCCGGTGAGAATCCGCCCCAGGAATTAGCATCCCAGGCCCAGCTCCCGCCTGCTGGCCCTGGCTCAGCTGCCCAGACAGCAGCACTCGGCCAAGGCCGAGCCCGATGCCAGGCTGCGGGGCACGGAGGGAATACCAACTCCCTCACACACACACTCTTAGCCAGACAACCACCAGCAGCCAATCTGAGCATGGCTGCTGAGGCCTGAGCCAGGAGGTGGAGTGAGGGGCAGGGAGAGCTGACAGATCCCTGGACAGAAGCCACACACCCTACAGACACCTCACAGCAACAAGTTGCTGGGGCTGGGAGAGGACCCACAGGGAGGGCTATGTGTGCCTGCAGGCACGTAGGCACCAGTTGAGAGGAAAGTGCCAGAAAAGCGAGAAAAAGAGGGAAAGAAACATCCACACAGAGAAGAGAGGAGGAAAAAGGTCAAAAGAATGGGCAGCAGAGAAGACAAGAGGTGGCAGAAACTAGTAAGGGACAGGTAACAAAGCAGGAAACAGGAGAGAAGCTCAGAAGGAAGGATTGGAAAGGTTTAAGGGGCAGATACCCAGAATGGGGAGAGACGCAAAGGAAAAAAAAGGCCCCCAAAGACTGGAAGACAAAAGACTTCACACACACACACACACACACACACACACACACCCCTGCACACCAAGTCTGGCAGCTTCTGGGAGTTTCTGAACTAGGCTATTTAGGGATGAGCCCGGACTCAAAGGCAGGCCTCCTGACCTGCAGGCGCACAAATTCCACTGCACCCGGCACTTCTTCAGGGTCAGAGCCAAGCACCCAGGAGCCGGGGCTGACTCTCAAGCCCAAAACTTCCCTCAGAGGCACCCTCACAACCACCAAAGGCTCCTCACCCAAGGAAAGGCTGCTGAGGAACAAACACACCGGTTCCCCCTCCAGCTTCTTGCAAGTCCTGAACAGTCCTGCCCAGATGAAAAATAACTACAGCAGCACAGGGCCTCCCCTCTCAATTCTATTCCAGAAAGAGCTTCCATGGAGCTAGGAAGAAGAGAGAATTATTGTCCCATTTCATAGACGAGGAAATGGACCCAGGGTAACTGTCCTACTCAAAGTCATGGAGCTAAGAAGCAGCAAAGCCGACCCTTCAACCAGACTGCCATTGTGCCATGCACATCCTGACACCTCTCACCAGAGTTCTGTCTTCCCTCACCCTCCAATTCCCCCGTTCCCTTCACCTGCTCTTCAAGGGGGAAAAGCAGAGGGGGCTGTTCCCTCCTGACCTTCCTGTCACCCTACTCCAAGCCCTGGTGTCCCCATCCCAGTCTCTGACCCTTCGCTGGCGGGGCAGGAGGCAGAGCTGGAGAGGACGGGAGCCGGGGAACCTCAGAGGGCCTGCGGGAGGGAGGGGCTCTCTGGCTGCCCACCTGCTAGTTAACAGCTGCCGAGATAAAAAAGCGAGCAGACGTTGGCTTGGCTCCGTTCCACCTACTTACTCCACTGCAGACGGCAACAGAAAGCGTTCCTGAGCGCGCGTCTGCCCATCCCCAGAGCGTCTCTTTCAGATTCATAAACACAGACTGAACGCGTTTAGGACAACAGCGAGAGCTGTCATCGCAGGGCCCAGGAGTTATATGGTCGGGTCCCCTAATGATTTACGGGGCACGTTCGGAAGTCTAGGAGCGGGGGTGGCTGAGCAGGAGGGCAGAGCCAGCTGGTGCCCTGGGAGTCTCATGTGACACTGGTCCATGAGAAGTGCCGCCCAGGGTGGCCTGCGAGGACCAGAGCCGAGTTCTGTCCGTGGGCTGTTCTGGGAAGATGTAGCCGCGCTCTGCCTCTGATTTCAAACAGATACTCCTGCTTCCAACATAATCCATTATAGCTCCTCAATCCACCTACTTCTCTAAACCATTTTAAAAGCTATTTAACATTTCAGTTTACACTTCCTCCTACAGGGATACGTGGAGTGCCAACTGCGTGCATGAAACAATCTATCCCTTTGTCTTAAGGTTACCGTTTAAGCTCTGAGGCGCCCTCTCCTCCTGTTTTCATTTAGCACATCGGTCACAGGATTCTTTCTCCCATTGGCACTTACACACATCTCCGCATGAGTCCTGCGTTCTAATCGCTTCGGTCTCTCTCCACACTCTAGTCCGGCCCCATTTAGTCTTGCCCGTCCAGGGAGCAGAGCAGGACTGTGCCTGCCCGGCCACCAGCCAGATGACCCCAGGCAGTGCTGGGCCCACACCACACCTGCGGGGAAAGCCAGGGCACTTTAAAGACCTGACACTCTGAGGGATTTGCCCCAAACTTGAACTCTACCTCCTCTGTGAAGCTTTCTCAGCCTTTCCAGACAAAATTAAGTGACAACACAGATAGCCTCCATTTACAGCACCTTTCACCTGGACTGTAGTCTGCCTCCTCCTGGCACAGAGGACACCGCTATTCTTAAGGGGGTGGGGAAGTGGGGGACACGATACTGTGCACCTCAAAGCACACAGTAAGTGCTCGGGAATGTCTGCTGAGTGGACCCAGGTGGATGGAGCAACATCAAAGCTCTTCTGCCCACTTCTGCCACCTGCAAGCCTCACAAGGCCCCCGTGATAAGGCCTCATTGGGCAGAACTGGCATCATCTTCAGCTGTGGAGAGTCCGAAGCACCTGTCCTCTCTAATAGGCTTTGGCGCTTTGCCAGTCACGGAGTGCACGCCTGGCGAGCTACTGGAGACAGCGACACACCTGGAAGACAGAAACACTTCCAGACCGGGGATGGACTAGAATTCACCAATGGCTACAATCTCACCAATAGAGCAGTGGTTCTCAACCTTGGCTGCACATTAGAATCACCTGGGAATCTTTTTAAAATCCTGATTTCTGGGCCTCATCCTCCGGAAATTCTGTTTCTTTGTTATGGGGTGGGGCCACAACATTAGTAACAAAGAAACAGAATTTCCGGAGGATGAGGCCCAGAAATCAGGACTTTAAAAAGATTCCCAGGTGATTCTAATGTGTAGCCAAGGTTGAGAACCACTGGTCTAGAGGGTAGTCTCATCCATTGAGGTGGTGTTTCAGTAAACCTGGAGGTGTGAGGCCAGGCATGCGTGCATGCGCACATACACACATGGCTTCAGCAAACACTGCTGGGCTAACACGTCGGCGGGTCTTACCCGGTGCTCTGTCAAAATAGGAATCTCCTTCAGTCCTCTCCAGCCATTGAGGCCACGAAGTTCATTTGCCAAACAGCCATTTAGGACTCAGATTGCAGGGGAAGAAGGTTGCACTGGAGTGGAGCCCATGAAAGCTCACTTAACCCACAGGGTAGTAGCAAGTCTTGTGACTCAGGCAGGGTCAGCTACATCCAAGGTTAAAGACCTTTATGGGCCGCCCAGGAAAAGACCTGCCTCTTTCCAGCAGAACCCCACCTCTTCCCCAAACGAACTAACCGGAGTACAACACCCTTGAGTATGATTCTCCTTTCCCCTCCTCTTCCCAACTCCACGCTCCTGACAAACCCCAAGTCCAGGTGAGCAGTAGCTGGACAAAGAGGCTCTGGAAACACTCTTGTCCTCAGTCAGAAGGACATGTAAACGCTGCTACCTGCCAAGTGCAGCACAGTGCCTTGCATACAGCTGGCGCTCAATAAACGTGTAAAGGGCAAGCCTGTTCTTAGCTATCTGTTTTCCTATGTTCATTCACTCTCTGCGTGTCTTTCTGTGCTTCTGCCAATCTACGCCAACTTGGGAGCTAATGATATGACAAGAGGTGTGTATAAATATAGTCCCAGCAGCAAAGCACTGAACACAGAGAGATGTGGAAATTATTCCTAATGATGGGGAGGAAAGGGAACTGAGCACACCCTGCACTCCAGCTTCCAAACTCAAGAGAATCAGGGGAATTCCACCAACAGGTCCTTCCCCACCCTAAGAAGTAGCCTCTTTCCATGGGCTCCCTCCGGGGGCAGCACTCGATTCCGACAAGAAAATCCCTGAGAGGAAGAAGGGGAGGGGGGAGGAGGAGGGAGAGGAGCTCACAGCACTGGGACAGGTGGGGTAAGGGTGGAGACACAGCTAGAGGAGAGAGCTGGAAGGGCTAAGCCACCTGATTCATCTAATAGTGTCACCTTGGAAGCCAAGGGAGCAGGCAGGTCGGCCAGCTGATTCCACCACCTTGTGCCGCAGGGAGAGGAGACCTCTGTTACTGGCCTGGACAGGGGTAAAGCCCAGGTTCTTGCTGCCGAACACCCTCCCCCACAAGCAAGCAGTGGGTCACCCTGAAAATCACCTTGCCTCTCTGGGTACCAAGGCCCCATCTATAAAACAAGGCCCCCTCTGCCACCAACAAAATCAAGTGACACAGTAAAACGTAAAAGCTCTCTGGAAGAAGGGAAGATGGACAGACAGAGGGAGAACCAGAACTGCCTTCTCCAGGCCACAGGTGACCCTGCCAGGCTGCCAGGGAGGTCTTTCCGCAGCGTCTCTCCATCCCCATCCTCTCTTCAGAGTATTAATCAGAGACAAGTCCCGGCCCCACTGGCCACAGCCTCCGAGCCCCCTGCCCTCCAGCCATGTGCCATGTCCCCAGAACATACCCACAGTCCACCCAGCAGATGGTGCCTTGTCCTTTCACTGCCTGGGCCACAGTGGACAGTAACCTGAGATGACTTTCAGCTGCAGCCTCTGTAAAAAACAACAACCAAATATTAAACATCTGTGCCCAAGGACACCAGGCCATCCTGCCATCTTCTCTTGGGGGCAGGGAAGGAAGGAAGAAAGGAGACCAGTCCAGAACCCCTGTTAAAATATCGTCCTGGTGACCAACAGTTCTGGGAGGACCGCCCAGCTCATTCCAGGAACCCCTGCTCCCGCCACATTCCTGGGCCCTTCCTCATGGACAGAGAACCCCCACGTAAGCCATGCCTCCTGTAAGCCACGCCTCCTGTAAGCCACGCCTCACCCCTCTCTCCTCCAAGCGTCTCTGAGCAAAATAGGTAACTCCCGGGAGAGTCTCTGACTCACTATCTTTCTGGGACAAATTTTGAAAAAGTTATAACCACATAATGACAATTCTGTAACTAAAGTGGGAAATGAGTTTGCCAATTCCACCCTTGTCTGTCCTGGGAGCTGATGAGGGCAGAGGCCCGATCCTTCCTTCCTTTGTCCATCACACTCGCATCTAGGGGCCCTCGGTACAACCTGGCGATCAGATGAAGTTTACATGTGACACTAGTCTCTGACAGACCAATGCCAAGTGTACCCACGTCAGATGTCATAGCCCACTTCCGGGGAAGTGGCAGGGGAGGAACTGGGCTGGGCCGTACCTCGGGCGTCAGCTGCAGGACCGCAGACCAGGCCTTGGGCAGGATGGAGTGGACATGAGAAAGGAAGAGTGCTTTGCTGGGCCAGGTGTCAACTCCTGTGGGTCTGGGCAAAGCACCTGGACTCTATTGTAGGAGGGCAGGTTCTTGGGGACGGAGCCTCTGTGGCCAGGATTTAGCACGGCCAGCCTGCAAGGTCCCACTGCCGAGTGGCTGTGGCCAGTGTGTCACCTCCCCCTGCCATACCTGTGAGCGCATGTGCAAGGCCTACCAGGCAGACACTGGTGGGGAGAGCAGTCTGCTGCCTTCCCCCTCCGATACGTTCCAAAGCCAAGCAGACATGGTGTCTGAATTATCTGCCTCCACAGATCTCCTTTTCTAGTGTGGAAAATGGTAGCTGTTTGTGAACACAAAGCATGCAGAGCCTTTATGGAAGTGAACAAAAAGCATCATTCTAGAACAGTGCCAGGAACCCCACCAGGGCACCAGGAGGAGGGTGCGGCGGAGGGGGAAAGGCCATTGCTCAGCAGGCAGATGGGCTCCGGGGAGCGGGGGAAAGAAACTGGAATAGAGGGATAGGCAGCACCCCTCCCCTAGCCCTTCGGAAAGGGAGCCCTGTCTGGAAGGACGGGAGGGGAGAAACCCAGTTACTGTGCTGCCCTGAAAGCCCACGCACAGTCACAAATCTAGTGACAGGCCTGGGGAGGAGGCAGGAAGGTAGAAAAACCACCCACGGCCACTGCCAACGCAGGGAGGAGCCGGCACTCGGGAAGCATGAGACCACGCTTGGGTGAGGGCTGGAGAGAAAATAAGACCTCTGGGCACTGCCTCCTGCCCTGCAAGCCCCATCTGGAGACCCCATCCACCTTCCTACCCTCTAACTAACCCAAATCATTTCCTGGTGGCAGAGCCCTCCCGTCCCTGCAGAGGTAACACATCGCTTCCTCCCTCCAGCAGAAGAAACAAGCAGAGGTGGAGCAGGGACCAGCTCGAACGGCGTCTACCGTCTACGGCGTCTACCGTCTACCAGCTGCGAGGCCTCAGACAAGTCAGCTGCTCTCTCCCAGCTTCAGCTCCTCCCTCATAACCTGGATGTTATCTGACAACCTGGCAGAGGAGTGAAGGGGACCGTCCTGCAGAAGGTCCTCGAGACGTCCTTGTACGATGATGAGCTTCCGTGGCGGGACGTACCCAGAGAGGAGCCGAGTGTGCTCTCACACTGACAACCACCAGATCCAGGAGCACCCACGGGGTGAGCCATGCTTACCAGGGCCCTACACCCAGGCATCAGGAGCAGCTCTGCTTCTCCCTGGCCTCAGTTTACCCCTATTCCTGACAGCAGAGAAATGTTAGTCACATGCTGGGCTCCCAACAACACCTCAGAGAGCATCTGCCAGGCTGCAGAAGAGCAAGGAGCAGCATGTGCCAGGGTGCTGGGAGGGTGCGGGCTCCAGGAGGGACACACATCCAAAACATCCATCAGCCCCAGTGCCAACGAGTGTCAAGGATGAGCTGCAGGGAGAGCTGTGCCCGGAACTGGCCCAGCCACTGGCTATTGCTTCTCCAGGGCCCAGAGAACTTGGCATCCTCAGGAGCAGCGAAAACACTTAACTGTGCTGGAATAGTATCAACAGTCTGATGTTCAAAGTCACAGCCAAGAGCCGAGCAAACCTCTCCATCCACTCTGCCCTCGCCAGTCCCAAGGTCAGAGGAGGCAAGCTGCTGCTGCCACCCCCGCTGAAGCCGCCCTGAGCCCAGTCCAAACTCAGCCTCGTGTTCCAATCCCAGAGTAGGACAGATGGGGGCCAGGCAGGGTCAGAGCTGCCAGCCTGGGTGCATGTCCCCAAGCCTGGGACCAACTCAGCTGGCAACGGGCCGGCCCAGGCTGTTCGTCAACAGCCCTGGAGAAGCATGCCCTGGCAGGGCTGGCCCGTGCCTGTCCAGGAAGTCAGAATGTCCATCCCCAGTGTCCACAGTCCTCTGTCCTCCTTCACACTCATGCTGTTTCCTGAGGCAATGAGGCTTTTTCTAAGAAACACTTATAGGAAGGAAGTGAATGACCTCTCAGGGATCTCAGATGAGCAGAACTAATGCCCCTCCAGGCCTCTGCCGTCTCCTGAGGAAAGCGGACAAACACGGTGTCCCTAGGACCCTCCCTGACTGGCTGTTGGTCCTAACGTCTCCGTCTCCCACCTCTGGCTCCTCTCATTCCCTTCCTATCGCATGCCATCCCCAACAGGTGACCCCAGGCCAGGCACTCACCGGATTTGGAGTAAAGCACCAATACATTATTCCGGGTCCTGAGAAGTTTTTTCAAGTCCTTGGGGTCAGAGATCCTCTCGATGAGTGAGGAGACCTTTGTGGAGGACAGCCATCCTGGCAGGACAACCTGCAAATGAAGGAGACAAGGACGGTGAGCCCCGGGTCCCGGCCAGGCCTGAGGAAGAACAGGTGCCCACAGACCTGCTGCCTACCGCTTATCTCACTTCAGTGGGATGAGGGCACACGAACCCTTCTTAGGAGACTAGAGCTGCCCTTCACCTCATCCCCTCGCCAAGTCACCACACACCCCAAGACACTTCCCCACCCACTCTCAGTCTCCACGTCCCTCTCTTCTCCACGCACTTTCATAACGCTGCACGGACTGCATACAACACAAGCATGTGCGTGGACGTACCTGCCACTCCCTCAATCAAGACCTCTCTGGGAGGCCAGTGTCTGCATGCTACACTGCATCACACACCGGAGCAATGCGAAGACTCCATCCACTCAGAAGCACCAAAACACAAAATCCACAGAGAAATAAGATCACCTCTGAGGTTCAGGATGGGAATGGATGGTGAGGGCATTTGTGCTTGCCCTACTCAGCCAACGATCGCAGGAAACAAGCCAACAAAAATGAGCGGATTGTCCCCAAGAAGCCTGCAAACCTTGGGCACTGGAGGTACCAGGCACCTCCACAGGCATGTGTAAGATGAAAGCAATGCGTGTGTGTGTGTGTGTGTGTGTGTGTGTGTGTGTGTGTTAAACACATGAATAAGGAGAAGTCACACAGCAGACCCCCTCACCCAGCCCACACAGCTGGCCAATAGCCCCTTGCCTGGTTGGCAGAAGGCACAGGGGTTACTACATGTCCACTGAAATAAGGAAAGCTCTGCTGGGAGACACCAGGCAGAGGGTGGGAGTGTGGCCCTGAGAGAAAAGAGGAGATTAAGGGAAGTCTATGAACTAAACCTTGAGATCAACCCTCCACATGACCCCATCCCCTAGCACCTCTTTTCCAGAATGCTGCCAGTCTTGTTCCCCCAGGCAGGAGATTAGAGAATTTTTCTCTGGAGAAACTGAGAAGCACAAGAAAAACAACCTAAAGACAGTGACTTGGAGATCCTCCCATGGAACAGCTGAATTCCCACTCCAATCCCTACTGTGAGGTGCTCTCAGTAAACAAGTGCCCTCCACCCCTCCCCACACTCAGTCTCTGATCAAGTGCTAGTGCCTTGCTCTTCAATACACACAGATAACAAGGTTCACCAGATATCTGAGGAAAGCCCTTAACATAAAAGGGGTGAAAACAAACCAATGGAAAGATGAAACTAAAACTAAAAACAGCCAAATTAAAGCACAAACAGCCACATTAAAGGAACTCCAGAAAAAGAAGAAAACAGAGGACAAGAAATTATCAAAGAAATAATTTGAGAAAATACCCCAGAATTGAAGGATGCGAGCTTTTCAGTTGAGAGGGCCCAGCATCAAGAATAAAATTAACTCTCACCAAAATACATCTGTGCAAACATTCAGAACACTGCTGACAAACAGCAGATGTGTGTTTCAAAGAAAAAAACACACACCACATATGAAAGACCAGGAGTCAGAATCGGCGTAAGGCTGGTCATCAGCACACTGGAAGACAACGAAGCATCACCTTTGCAATTATCAGGCAATGTGGTTTCCAACTGGAATTCTATCACCAGCCAAACTGTCAATGGTGAATACAAATTTACTCAGACTTCAGATCTCAGATGTGCGCGATTTACCACCAATGCACTCTTTCTCAGAAAGCTACTAGAACTCACGCTCTACCAAAACAAGATGTAAATAAAAAGTGACAAAGACATGGAATCTGGGAAACAAAGGATCCAAGAGAGGAAAGAGGAAAGAAGAATTACCATACTGATGGTGAAGAGAAGTCCGGGAAAACTGTCCAACAGCCTACAGAGCAACCAGCCCAGAATGGAGCCAGGACAGAGAAATATGGAGGAATGTGGTCAATAAAAAGAGACAACTGTAGATTATCTGATATGCTTAATCATACTGATCAGGGAAATTGTCTGACCAAAGTTACACAGCTAATGAAAAGCAGGGCCAGGACCCGAATCCCAGTCTCTCTCTTTGATCCCATGCCCTCTCAGTCCACTGCCTCTTTGCAGCCAGAAGTCTTGAGTTGAGTCTGAGCTCTGCCATTCAATAAGCTAAGATGGCTAAGCAACATCCCTCAACCTTCCAGAGGCTTAATGCCTCTCACATCTGACATGGAGATAATAATACCTCCCTCATGGGACTGCTGGAAGGATAAAATGGGATAACTTATCGAACATACTTTATAAATCATAAAGCACTCCAATAGCATCGTTACCATAATATGTAATACAAATTTCTACCTCAGCAGAACAGAAGACAGAAATGTAGCCACATTCTAGTGCTTCTAAATATAATCTACCATTAGGTTTCAAGGTTCCTTCTCCCCAGTGTGGAACCATCCAGGAGGAGGAGTTGAGGAACGATCTCTCCCTCATTCTGCCTGGCCAGAGCTGTGGACAAGGCCTACAGACCACTGCCCTTGGGCAGCCCACCTTGAGAGCTCACCAAAAAGTTAACTCCACTTTATTGTTACGTGTTATTTAGTTTACTGCTCCCAGAGAACGAATGGACTTCAGACTAAAGAGTTCATAGCTCAATGCACATGACTAAAGGAAAAAAGAAAAAAAAATCTGTTGGAAAAACACACTGACTCTGCTCTGATTTTAATCCTCAGATAATCTGCAGTGAAGAAAAACAACTACCTTTGCCCAGTGCCTGGGGATTGTGACCTGTGGACCAGCCCTCCTGAAACTGGCAGGCATCTGTGCTTCTGGAACTGGGGAGAAGGAAAAGGGGTGGTGGTGGGGGGGGGGGCGGGACAGCCCAGTGCCCGCCTGCCCAGGCAGCACGGTGGCGTAGCTGGGCCGCAGCGACAGCCGAGTCTACAACAGAAACCACAAGAGCCGACCCACAGCTTCCTTCCTATAAAACCCAGAGAGTCCCTCAGGTCATCTAAACATCGGCCACCCCCAGAGTAAACAAACCACGGCCCAGGCCCAGCTAGCCACCAAAACCTCTGACCCAGTGCTCACCCTCACACAGCAGAGAGCTGAAGCTCAACCAGAGACACACCGAGCAAATTGCCTCTGCTTGAACACCGTCACCGGGCATGGCACTGGGGCTTACACGGGCACTGCCCATAGCCGGTCTTCTTGGAGGGTCTGTCTCCTCCCCACCTCCCCATCCCTACCCCGTCCCCTAGACTAGAGCTAGTTCTGGAGGACAGGACCCAGAACAGCACCTGGCCCCTTGCAAGCCACAGGAACTGTTCGTCCAGCATAATAAACATGACAAGGCACACTGGTTTCCATCCTGGCCTCTGCAGAGATCACCGCTAGGAGCACATTACACGGTGAGTCCATGGCAGCTCTCGGGAGACCTGGAAGGGACCGCTAACACCAGGCCGACCACAGCACAGCCAGTGAGGGCCTGGGTGGGAGCACGGCGGCGGGAGAGGGCGGGTGGGGCCAGGTCTTGAAAGCCTGGCTCCTAGAGAACTGCATTTGGCCATGACCTCAGACTGGGCAGCCACTAGGAAGCTGGAGGTGGAGGACCCGCTGGATTGGCTGCCCAAGTGGAAAGAAATGGGTCAATCCAAGAGTCTTGGGGACAAACAACAGAACTCAATGGCTATTCCTATGTAAGCAAGGAAGGAAGAAAGAAGAGGCTAAAATGACCCCAAGGATTCTGAACAATAGCCAAAAATGGAAGAACTGAGAAGCAGCAGGGGCTCTGTCGTCTGATGCCGAGGAAGGTGATAATGAGCTCAGGCATGGACGTGTGGACAATAAGGCACCCCATTCAGGCTGGGGAGTCAGTCTGGGGTCGAGGCTCAGAGGGAGGAAGGACAGGAGGACAGTCAGAAGGAAAAGGTGAGAAGTGCTCTGTCAACACAGACCAAAGAGGAGACACACAGAAAGGCGGTGATTGATCTGCAGGCAAAGTCCCAGGACAATCTGAGATGATCTCAGTAGCAGAGTGGGAAGCGAGTGCTTTAAAGAGACAGCACGCCCAGCGCAGGAGCTGGGTGACCCTGCAGGGTCGGGAGAAGGATGGGCTGTCTCGGTTGCCCATGTGTGGGCACAGGAGAGGCAGGGTTTGGAGATTTGGGAGTGACAGGGGAACACAGGCCTATAGCCAGTTCCAGGGGAAACCTGCGAGGCTTACTTAGCATCTCTGAGATTGGGGAGGATGAAAAGCCTATGTCTGCCTCAGACCCGCACCTTAGCAGGCAACCACAGGGACAGCCAGGAGAGCCGCCCTTGCTCCCTCCCCTAAGCCCCAGGGGATGCTGCTCCAGCCACTTAACATTCTCCTTTCTCCTCCCCTTCAGTCTATTTTAACCTTTGCAATGTGCACGCTCCCTTCTTTCCTTAAGATGCAGCTCCAGTGAGCCCTGGATCACCTCCCAGGGCCATCCTGCAGATTTCTTAAGCCACGACCCACAAACCTTGATAACGACAATAGCTACGGCAACAATAACAGTGTTAATGATGCACAGACCCTCTGCTTGGTCAGGCCCCCAGGGGAGAGGGCAGCGCCAACCTCCCAACTGCTCCTGGGCTCGGCGGCGGGCTCTTTACGGTCTAAGTCATTCCCTTTAGAAGTAGAAGAGAGAAAAAAATCCCCTCTGTTCACCATGCAAACTCCTGATGGGCTGCAATAATTGCTTTCTTTCTGCTCCTCGACCCACAGCTTTAACAGGATTTGTATCAGGGCTGGGCTGCCCGTGGGCTGGGCTGAGACTCATAAGCCATTCCCCCAGTGCGGAGCAAAGCAAAGCTTGGGGAATACAGGCCCCAAAGGTCCCACTTGCATCAGAGAGCCAGTGCCCACCCATCAGAGTGCCCCCAGCCCCTGTCACAGAAGCACCTCGCTTAGAACACCAGGCCTCCATCCTCAAGCCCCTTTCCCCCAGCAGAGTACAAGGCCCTCTTCAGAGCCAGCAGCCCCCGGTCTCCGTCACATGAGTCTTCACCCCACCTCCACCAAGGTGGGAGGCAATAGGGTCGAGGAAACTGGGTTC